CTTGACAGCATCTTTAAAAGCAGAGACATCACCTTGCTGACAAAGGTCTGCATAGTCAAAGCTATGGTTTTTCCAGTAGTGATGTATGGAAGTGAGAGCTGGACCATAAAGAAGGATTACCGCCAAAAAATTTATGCTTTTGAATTGTGGTGCTGGGGGAGGCTCTTGAGAGTCCCCTGGACTGCAAGGAGAATAAATCTATCCATTCTAAAGGAAATCAACCCTGAGTGCTCACTGGAAGGACAGATCCTGGAGCTGAGGCTCCAATACTTTGGCCATCTCATGAGAAGAGTCCCTGGAAAAGACTCTGATGGAAGACAGGAGGGCCTGGCGTGCTCTGGTCCACGGGGGTCACAAAAAGTTGGATACAACTTAATGACTAAACAATAAAAAAGCTCAAACTGAGAAGACAGTGATAGGACCATACATAAGGGACAAACAGATGTGCTCCTCTCAGTGTTCTTGGACTACAGTTCTCATCAGCCCTCATAACTGATTATGTCTGCTAGGAGTGATGATGAGGACCAATAACATCTGAAGGGCCACAGCTGTTCATCCCCACCTTACTTAATTCAGGTCCTTATAGTGGCTAGAGTAATGGAATAGGACTCAGGTGACCTGGATTCAATTCACCACCTCTGCTATGGAAACTCACAGGGAGGGGAGTGGGATGAAACTTCTAAAACTACTCCTTAAATATCCCACTTCCCTTGAAAGCCATATTAGGGTTGCTATAAGTCAGCTCTGATCTGATAGCACATAACAAGGAGACAAACAGTGTGGAAGTATTTCCTCTCCCTCAAAAAAATTTATGGTACTAGTCCACAGGCTACTGACAAGAAGAGACAGACAATATGAACTGATTTGTCACGCCTGAGTGCAGATGCACTTCATTAAGTTGTTTGTCACCAATGAGAACAGATGCAAGAGCAGGTGATACCTTTATTAGACCACTTAAAAAAATTAAAGAAACAATTTTTTTTCAAAGACTCTGGCTGAGCACCAGATTTTGTAGATAGTTCAGAAAAAAAATATGAGTTGCAAAAATTATTTGGTAGTTCTTTGTCTGAAGAGCTAGGAGGCAGCCAAATGCTATTGGGGTGACACTTCAAACCACACACCCCAAAAGCTGTTTATAGCCAGCATTTGAATTCACCTTACGAAGTATACCTGGCACAGATATCTGATATCTGCCATGAATTTTTGGGACTCTCACATATTTTTTTTTCTGAACTATCCACAAAATCAGGACCTCAGACTGAGAAACATGAATCGTCATGGAGAGCTAGCTGTTCTTTATAATTTTTTAAATAGTCTAATAAAGGTACCAGCTCTGCTTTTGTATGATTTTAAGGATCACATGGCTTCTTCCTTCCCCACCCCCCAAAAAATGAGAACAGCTCATCTTCCAGCTTCAATGAGATTTTTGCAAGTCCTCATCTTTCAGTTAAATAGCACAACATGTAATCATTAATTAACAGACTAGCAACCAACTCTTGCTTCTGTATAGCAAGTCACTAAGATGAATGAGCATTCCCCTATTCGCCTGCAAACATGAATTCAAGTGATTAAGAGCACCCCACACAACTTGAACTCTATCCTACAGGGGACTTATAGAGATCCTGAGTCTAAAGTCTAATCTCATCTAAGATGCTTTTACAGGGCACAGCTACTGATCTCAAACTTCTGGGTGCACAATTATCCACTCAACCTATGCATTTAATGGATTAAATCTATACAGGAAAGGTTAGACCACTTAACATTTCTGAAGTCTATTTATTTATTTGAAGGCTATGAGGACATCTTTAATTTCACAAATCAGAAACATAGGCGGAGCTGCACAAGTAATTTTCGGGAAATGGCCTGGATCAATTCTATATTTTGAGCAGCTCCACTGAAATCAATGGGACGTGTTAGTTTGTCAAAAGAAGGCTTCGGTAAGTCCTTGGTTCCCACCGGAGGTATGTCTTAATTTTCGATCCAATTGAACACGATCCAGCCTCCCCGTAGTTCTGCCTACTCGAGTGAACAAAGGGGGCGTGCTGTGATCCAGGTTGCGGGAAGGAAAAAGAGAGGAAGGAGAAAAAAGGAACCTATCTGACAGCCTAACAAAGAAACCGGCCTTTTGTCTCTCTTTCTCTTGCAACCTCGGAGGTGGAAAGCTGCAGCAAAAAGCCTCGTGCTTTTTCCGGTTTGTGCAAGCCCTGCAAAAGCGCCAGGCGGCTCCTCGAAGAACAACGCGCCCCAAAAAGGAAACGCAAGGCGATGCTCTTGCTCTCCCGAGTGCACGGGGGTGGGATGGGGTGGGCGGGAAAGGAGCCGGCCTCGCTCGTGCTTTTCTCCCCGGCCCTGGGCTCTGGCGGTGCGCAGTGGCGCGCATCTGGCCCGCGGTAGCCCCTTCCCCGGGGCGTGGGGGGGCGAAGGCAAGGGAAGGCGGAGCTGTGCCCGCGCTTCATTGGGATGAGGTGCGCCTCACGGCCGGTTTTGGCACGCGGGGGGGCTCCTCTGGGGGAGCAGAGCTTCCCGTAGCTGG